TCTACTTTCAGCTGTCTCGCCTGTGATAAGGGGGAATATTAGATCTATACCTACCACACTCAGGTTGACTGGCATGTGGGGCTTTGGCACAGGCAGATCATAGAGAGAATTCAGCATGTCGTTCAAGTCATTTTCCTGGGGGAGAAAACAAACAAACAAACAAGAAAGAGAAAAGAGTAAAAAAAAAAAAAAAAGATTCTGTTTACTCCTCGTCTTGTTGATGTCACCGGTTTACGTGTCAGTCTTTGCAACAGATTTGAGACGGATGCAGACCAGAGGGCAGTCCTGCAGCCAGGCCTGAAGGAGTCCAACACATCCGATCCACACGTGTTTAACGAGCAGTGGTGAGGTTAAAAGACGGCAGCGCGCCGGCCTGCAGACGCTTGTTATATACAGGGGCAGTGATTTATGACAACAGAGCGGGCTGCCGGTAATTAAACAGGGCTGGGGGCTTTAAAAATCTGACCACATGAGTTCCACAACAAAAATCAGCTTCGGCTGCCGGGAGACGACGAAGGAAGAAAACTTCCGTAACTTCTCTGACGGAGGTTGATTGTTGTTTGTTTTAGCCTCGTTTTCTCACGCCCTCCCGGAAACAAAAAAACTTTGCGACACATCAGGATACGAGACGCTGCTCGTTTTGAGACGTGCACGCAAAGAGCCAGACCGGAAAACTCTCGAGAAATGGGTGGCGATGTACAGTAGAGAGAGGGGGGAGGAGGGAGGGGGAGGGGAGGGCTGATGGATGGAGGGAGGGCGTGCGCGATCGAACAGCCTCCTGTCATGAGGGGCTCAATGCTCACACGCATGGTCAGCAACACGGCCTGGGGAAACAGTTCATTTACCCCTCGCCTTAAACCCTCATCGCTCTTCTGTCTCCCCTCGTCTGTCAACATCTCCCTCTCGCCTGGAACGGACAGCGGGGTAAACAGAAACCAAATCATGCACACTAACACTTCAGTCACCCAGGATTTACAGAAATCTTTGTCTCTCTCCCTCTCTCTCTCTCTCTCTCTCTCTCTCTCACACACACGTACAAGTGAATTAAATTATCATCCTGAATTCCTCTCTGGCTCAGAATCGTGTATATATTTAGCTGATTGTCTTTTTGAGCCGCAGCCTCTGCTCCGTGAGGCTCTCGGAGGAAACCAGACTGGTTGACAACAGTCCCACAGCTCCCTGTCTTCCTCCCCTGCTCCTCTCCTCTCCTCTCTTCTCCTCTCCATCCCTCCCTCCTTCTTCCTCCTCATCTAAACACCTAACATCACCTACAGCCTCGGCGCTCCGTGCTGCACAACTCCCCAGTTTGTAGCACATTTTAAATTTCCCCTCCCTTTGCTGGTACAACGCAGTGGAAGAGTCAGGGGAGACGACTTTTGTGAAATGTAAGCAATCCTCTGTGTGTGTGTGTGTGTCCTCTCCTAACAATTTGTTTTTGCAGTGTATCATCAGGAATAACTTCCAGTGTCAGATCAGCGTTTGGTCTGTGAAATGTCAACATTGTAGCTGCTAACAGCAGAAGCCAATCCCACAGTCAGAGGGCAAAGAAAACTTCTCCGATAAAGACGACACGCAGAGGAACACAGTGGAGGGAAGGAGAGTACTACACACACACACACACACACACACACACACACACACAGGACTGAATACAACACACACCGCCGTGTGTGATGAAGCTGTTAATGTATAAATGGACAGAGAAGAGCAGAGATTTTTGTTTTTACCTGTTTCTTTAACAGATAATCTGCCAGGGTGTTGAGCAGCTTGTAGTAGATTTCAAACCACGGTAAATAACTGAAAGAGACAGAAAGGACAAAAAAAAGACGGACGTTACTGATACGGTAGAGTAGAGTCAAAATGTCACTGTACACAACTGAAGATTAAAAAAAAAACATAAGTAGTATTTTCACCAGTGTATTTTAAATACAAAAATATTTTTGTCTGCACAGCAGTTTTAACTAAGATTTTTTTATTTTTTTTATCCAAACCCTCCCTCATCAAGAAATGTCAAATGTTTTTTATACCTGAGGAGAAAAAGTTCCTTTCTGTACATATTAGTTTAAAAAAAAAAAAAAAAAAAAACACCAAAAATTGCACTGTAAGTCTGTGTATAATGGGCACAAGGTTTGTCCTCCACCGGACAGGAGGGGGGTTCAAATCCCACTGTGTGCAGATGTGTCCCTGGGTAGGAAACTGAACACTCTAGGTGCTTATTATCTCCCACCCATGCGGCGCTGGTGCCAATCCCAGATACATAAATGCAGAGGGTTGCATCAGGAAGGGCATCCTGGGTAACGACTGTTCCCCCGCTGCAGGTTTCACACTGGAGGAACAACTGGAAAAGTCGTTCGTCTCATAAGTCAAAAACCTGAAGACACAAATGAACTGGTTCCTCTTAAAGTTAGGGACCAGGGACGAGGGACGAGGGACGAGGGACGAGGGACCAGCTGGACCAGCTGTGGGTCCTGGACCAGTCTTCATGATCGACTGCTCTGACTGACTCACAGTGTCTTCACTGTAAACACTGTCTGCTGGACATTAGAAGACATCAGGGTTGGGAATTTGTTGGGAAAAATAATTTTTTTTTCTGTCCTTAGCATCCGCTAATGCACTGTGTTCCACGGCTACAGCTGTTTGAAATTGTCTTCGTGGAAACGAGCGTCTCCTTTCTATTATGACATTCTCTTCACATGCTTCGTGTCCCTGACGTCGCCGCCCTTCAGGCCAACAGGACGGAGCAGCAGAGAAAACAACTACAACAACAGCTTCATGTTGTTGTGATGTGGAGGGATGTTGTGGTTTAGAAGCATGAAGCACCCAGATGTATAAGGCCAAACAAAAACATGCAGCCCCACCGCCCACCCCACCCGGCCGCTTCAGCCATTCACTCGTTTAAGAAACACAAACCACTAAGTCCATTAATTCATTCACAAACTAGACGATAATTCATACTGCAGCGTTTGTGTCGCGGCTAATCGCGGCGTCCTCCTAACATAAGCTCGGAGCACGAGCAGCACGGCTTTCTTTACAAAGTTGACATTTTCTTGGCCCAGTCGACTCCTTCTCCTGGTGGAGCACGGCCAACATTTATCACTGCTTAAATAAAAAATAGAGAGAGAGAGAGAGAGAGAGAGAGAGAGAGAGCTCAATTCTGTTAATGTTATGTAATGGAATAACTAAGTCAGGCTGCAGTGATGAGTCCATTTCACCAAAGATAATTTAAAAAAAAATTATTTGGATAAATATGATTTATTTTAAACCATTTCACTAATTCATTTGTTTTATTAGTTCTTTTATAGTAAATACAAAAGTTGTAGTTTTAAGTTTTTTATTTATTCTTTTACTCTTTTTTTGGCAATGGTAGTTTAACAATTTAACAACTCCTGGTAAACTGACTGAACTAGGTCAACAGTACATTATGTTTGAGTTTGTTTTCTTAAAATAAAAAACTTCCTGTTTCTGTTCGAGTTTTATGTCAGAAAAAAAAACTTGGTTTAAGGACAAATATTAAAATTAAAGTATATCATAAAAACACAAAAACTGTGAAATTATTCCTATATGGCCAGACAAAAGTTTTTTAACTTTTTACATTTTGGATGCAGTGAGGGGTTAACTCTTCACTGAGTCAAAAAGTAAGCACTAGGTTAATAGTTTCAGTAGAATAATGTTAAAGTTTTTTTTGTTTGTTTTTTTAGCAAATATAGCAAATCAATGTGACTGTAATACAGGACACAAATTAAAAGTCAAATATCAGGAGATAAAACTTATGGACCGTGAAAACAACCCTACGTTGAAGCTCCGACAAACGCTGATTAAAACCATGATAGTTACAGCCTTTACAGGAAACACCGTCCCTGTGCAGTCAAAGGTAGAGACGCGCTCTTCAACCACTAATGGTTTGGGACAAAAGTTTTAATTTTTATAATTGGAGAAAAATAAACCAGAAACGTTTCATTATCGTGACTGTATCCAGTTAAGTTCATGTTTCATTAACTGGACCCACGGGTTGAGACTCACATTAGCAGTGAAACGATCCGTTCAATCGGAAGTGAACTCCGTGTTCTTCAACGCTGGGGATAAATCCTGACTTTACGTCTATTATTTTCCTTATTAATGATAAAACATGCATTCCTGTGAATATATATCCAATCTAAGGTTTGATCAGAGAACGCTCCGTGAGTTTATTAGCCAAAAAACACAAGTCCTGCTGAGGCTGTTAGCCGCAGCATCCAGGGCACGGTTGACTGGCTGCTCCGTAGACTGGAATTAACAGACAACAAGAAAACAATAAAGTGAACCTAATGCAAATTTTCATATCGCTTAATCCACAAGGGGCCAATGGCAGGCTGAATTCCCGGGATAAGGGCAGCCAAGCGAGCCAAACAGGGAGGCCGAGTGACCATTAGTCTGAGACAATCAGCCTCTAAACATGCCAATATTTTGACATCTGCATGAAGATTGGCTGCAATCAGGTCACACTCGCAGGAGGAACTCAAACAGGCGTACGTTGATTCACATGCTGACCGGATACCAACCTGGAGACCTACTTCTGCCACGAACATGTCTTCACGGGGCTCATTTCACTCTGCGACCATTCACACTAAAAACTTTGAGCTGATATAATGACTTAGGCAGATAACAAAGACTCCTGCAGTGCCCCCCCTCCCAGCCCCACCGTGTCCCTGACGTTTAAAAAGCCAGGCTCCTGGACATTAATCCTTCATTCATCACAGTGGAAGGAGATGTAAATAGGCCTCAGCCGTCAGGCCTCGCTGTTCTCACACTCATTACACTCCAACAGAGAGTCGCTGCAAAGCTTTCCTCTGACAGGAAGTCACATGATCACTGCTGAGAGCACACGTCAAAGAAAGAAAGAAAGAAAGAAAATCAAGAAAAGAAAGAAAGAAAGAAAGAGAAAGAATCAACTAATTTATAATAATATTCAGTTAAATGATCAAACTGGACCAGAACTTCCTGGACCTGGTCCTGGACCTGGTTCTGCAGACATTGTTGATGCAGAGTTGAAGTTGTTAGCGCTCACACAGACACTCCTCCTGGTCACAGCTCATTGCTCAGAGCTGTTTGTATTGAGTAAATCCTTCGATAGAGAGGAGCATCCATCACGGGTGTTCTCCCAGTCTGTG